TTCTCAGGGCACGTTCTGACCGGATAGAGAGAGGGACGAGTTGTCACTCGCCCTACAGACTCCAGAGCATCCAGGACGAACACAAGGGAAAGGGGTGATTCCTTGGAAGATTGGGTTCAAGGAGGATATCCACACGTACAGGAGTCGGATGAGGAGCAAGAGAGATACCGAGGCGAAGATTGTTGATCTTGAGTTCAGGGTATCGAGCTACGAGCTCAGCATGCAAGAGGAGGTGGCAAGGAAGGTTGATGAACGCATGGCCGCACATCGGTCCAATGATCCCCAGCCGACCATTCCTCCTGCAATGGTGAGCCCGTCAGGAAACCGTAGCAGCTGCGCCTCAACGGGGCAGGTAGGATCACAGAGCATGGACGCCATGCAAACCCAAGACGAATCCACCTGCCCCGTTGATGACATCACTCAGCGGACACCATGTGAGCTGCATATTCCTTTCAAGAACTTATCAATAAAGGTAAGCTCGTAGTTTATATATTTTAGATTTGCCCATTCCGCTAGTTGCTGCTTATATATGTTGATTACTAATAAATAACCTCTCACCACATGAAGGTGGCGTCGGGCATGACCATCCCAACGGACCCTTCAGGTACTTACCACTGCAGGCCGATTCCAGCAGGATACTCCAAGGTCGAAGTTGAGTTGGTCGAAGGCGCGTACGAGGACCTCGAACTGGATTACCCTGGAGGAGACGGTGAGACGCATCTACGAGACACAAGCCATGCAATTATTCTATGGCGCAGGCTGTACATCATCCTCCCTGGGCGACAAGCGGCGTCTCGTGCACCATCTTCTCTGGCTCCGCCATCTCCTCCGGCTCCGCCATCTCCTCCTCAGGATCCTGCACCGTCTCCTCCTCAGGATCCTGCACCGTCTCCTCCTCATGCTCCAGCACCGTCTCCACCTCAGGCTCCTGCACCGACTCCTCTTCAGGCTCCTGCACCGACTCCTCCTCGGTCTCCTACACCGACTCCTCCGCAAGCTCCTCTTCCGGCACCTTCAAAGTCAAGGGCCCCCCAGGCTCCACCGCCTGCCCACAGAAGGGCAACGAAGAAGGCAAAAATTGACGCCGCCAAGAACAAGGACCCGGGGTACGATTGCACACAAGAGGAGCTTGACGCTTACATGGCATCAGAAGTCAAGAGACAATTCAAGCCTCAAAGTCCAGAAAAGAAGATTCCTATAGACCCGAGTGTCATGAACTTCTTCAGGGGTATGTCTGCACCTGCCAAGGAGGCCATTAAGCTATCGGACTATGAGCGAACGCTGAAGAAAGCATCTTCTGGAAAGTCCAAACTAGTCCCTCAGCTTGGAGAGCAACCAAACCAGGAGATCGAGCCGTTGGTGACCGGTAAAGAAATGACGATAGAAGAATTTATTACTGACACCGGTCTAACTACGGATCAATTGCTAGGAGTCACACCAATCGAAAAGGCGGAAGTGAAATACATGTACGAACTCGGTAAACCGCTTGTCAAGCCTGAGCTGCTGCAGTCCCTACCCACACAAATGTACAAGTTCCATCCGCTGTACATGGAGATGAGCGCCACCGGTAGAGAGATGATCGGAGCGAGGATCAGGGACACGGACTTCTTGCAAGGAGATGACATTCTCTGGATCAATTTCAAGGGAATCTATGAACTATACCAGCTGGACGCCTTCAACGTCTCTATTATGAGTTGCTGGATTTTGTAAGTATATTGTTCAGTTAGATTTCTTACTACGTCTCCTTTAATTAATTAGGTCCTTGTATATAAGTAGACTATAGAAAATAATATACTCCCTTTTATCGTTGTAGAATGGAGATTCAAAGGGCCCGACGGCGGGGGGTTTTCGATACTGGATTCATCGACCCTCGGAAAGTAAACGTCGCAATGCTCGACCAATATCCACAAGCCACAGAGGACAATCTCGTCCATCTCCTGAAGGCGCAGCATTACAAGACGTTCATACTGTTGCCGTACAACATAGAGTTAGTTTAATTTTACTGTTTTCCTATACCAAATTTCATTCCCGTACGAACTTGCTAAGTGTTTCATATGTAATGCATCCCACGTACATTGCAGATTCCACTGGGTGCTTTTACTCTTCGACCTGTCGGCCTGCACCGTCAACGTATATGACTCAATGGATAAAAAAGAGTCTACGTTTGACAAGGTTTTCGAACTTATAGACAGGTACCGTCATAAGTTCCTCTGTTAATTAAGAAAATCTTGTTATGTTAATTGCTACTATGAATCATAGCTTTAAACTCCATGTAGGGCTTGGTATCGGTTCCGTCATTTGGTCCGCGGTAAATGGAGAGAAAGACTTAGGCGGAAGTTCAAATTTCCTGTGAGTACACATGCTCTACATTTATATTTCTCCGATTCAAATACATACAAGTGTATATTAATTAGATCTCTCATTGTTTGTCATTTATTTGTAGTGCGCAAAGCAAAAGAAGGGAACTAACTTGTGCGGCTATTACGTGTGCGAGTATTGCCACTGCCTTGCAGACCAAATCATCACCATAAGAAAGCTCAATGTACGTACAAATAAATTCAAAATTTCATTACGTATCGATTTCTTGTTTAATTACTAATCAATTTCATACATTCATATAGTTTATTCGCATGAGGGATAACCTGACCACGCACAAGGAATTTATCGCGGCGGTTCAAGAACAACTCATGGGATTCATCAACGAACAAATCCTTGATCCCAAGGGTGAATTCTACTACGACGGAAACACAATTCATAGGTCCTTAGCTTCTGAGCTAGCGACTACTACTACGTCGAAATCGTAGCTAGCTAGAACATATAATGGATTGTAATTAATACATGACTACATATGTTTCTATATGCATGTGTACACATTTTCTATAATGTAAATATATTTTGGTCATATATATATACATATGCATTTGCATAACATATATATGTATAAATACATATATATTATGCACATGTACATATGTATTATATATATATATATATATATATATATATATATATATATATATATATATATGTATGTACTGAAACATGGTTTATATATATATATATATATATATATATAAACCATGCAGCAACAGGGCCATGCAAAAAAAAAGGTCAGCTCGATCTTTAGTCCCGGTTGGTAACACCAACCGAGACGGATGAGCCATCTTTAGTCTCGGTTGGTAACCCAAACCAGGACTAAAGATCGATCTTTACTCCTGGTTAGGTAGATGCCCGGTTTGGGTTACCAACCGGGACTAAAAATCGATCTTTAGTCCCGATTATTTCACCCGGGACTAAAGATAGCGATCTTTAGTCCCGGATTGGTAATCCCGGTTTGGAAACCGGGATTAAAAGGGGTTATAAACCAGGACTATAAAGGGTTTCTCCACCAGTGTATCGCCCAGTCCTAAGCTAAGTACGTCTCCGTTTTATCTGCCGTGCGTAGTGTATTTTTTTCTTTTAGCGTCGGTGTTCCACCGTGTTAGCTTGAAGCCACGCGAGGCGTGAGTGACACGAGACCCAGAGCAGCTGACCGGCTGCCTCGTCTACCACATTAATCTGGACAACTGGATTATAAGTAAGATATTGAGTCGATACTGAATTACTGGTGGTCAACTGTTTAATTGCACACATACATGATCAATTGAATATAACTATCATCTATCTATTATATTATTAAAAGAATAAAAAAATGAGCCTCCACGTTCGCTCTCATGGCCTAGAAATTCTCACGTTAATCGGAGAAAAAGAAAAAGCAGAGTCTATATAGAAATACAATTTAGAAATAGCTGAAATTCGGAATTAAAAAATAAGGAATATTAGAAGAGGAGACTAGAGTCCATATAGAAATACAATTTAGAAATAGTTTAAATTCGGAATTAAAAAATAAGGAATATTAGAAGAGGAGACTAGAGTCCATATAGAAATACAATTAGGAAATAACTGAAATTCAGAATTAAAAATAAGGAATATTAGAAGTAGAGTATAGAGTCCATGCAGAAATACAATTAGGAAATAACTGAAATTCGGAATTAAAAATAAGGAATATTAGAAGTAGAGTATAGAGTCCATATAGAAATACAATTAGGAAATAACTGAAATTCGGAATTAAAAATAAGGAATAGAAGTAGAGTATAGAGTCCATATAGAAATACAATTAAGAAAAAAAATAGATATTCGGAATTAAAAAATAAGGAATATTAGAGGTTGAGTATATAGTCTATATAGGAATTTAAAACTAACTAAAATTTGGAATGAATATAATAAAATTAAAAGTAGAGTTTAGAGTCCTTATAAAAATACAATTTACAAATAACTAAAATTCGAAATTAAGAAAAACATGGGAAGAAGAGTTTAAAGTCAATATAGGAATACAATTTAGAAGTAACTGGAATTCGAAATTAAAAATTAAAGAATATTGAAAGATGAGTTTAGAGTCCACATAGAAATAAAATTAGAAATAATAAAAATTCAGAAATAAAAATAAATAATATTAGAAGAAGAGCATAGAGTCTATATAGAAATACAATTTACAGAAAATTCGGAATTAAAAAAAAGAAATACGAGTCTAGAGTACATATAAGAATATATATAATTTACAAATAACTAAAATTTGATATTAAAAATAATTAATAATTAACACGTATATAAAATATAATATGAATATTACACATTAGTAGTTTTGTAAAGTTATTGCAAAATTTAAAATTATGTTGTCATTTTAATATATTTGAATAATATAATGATAAAACATATATGCTATTATATGAGAGAAAATATAATGATGCTAGCCGCGCAATCTACGTAGCTCACGATGCTAGTTAATATAATCTACTAATTAAAATAGTCGATTGAATAAAAATAAATTTAGAGCCCTAATTTACGTTTCGTTCTGGGGCCCACTGATCTCACCTCGGTGGAATCGGGCTCGGCGGCGAGAGCGAACTCGGTCGGCGCCCCCTCCCATTCCACCTGCGCACGGGCCAAGCGCGGGGCGTGGCCGGCGAGCTCCCGTCCATTCCCTCGTCTCTCTGGATAGGGGATCTGGAAAATTTGCTGCTCTCTTGATCGAGCGGTGAAACTTTCTCACCATTCATCCATCCGGCGAAACTTCCACTGATGAATCGGACTTCCCAAACCTTTCCACGCTCTCGCTCCAAATGACCAAAAGCCAGAGGAGGAGGGTTTCGCAGCAACAACGTGGGCGCCCACGGCCCGCGCCCGGTCAGCGAGGAAACAGATCGAAAAAAAACAAAAGCCGCTGACGTCACGATCTCGAGGCTCGCGATTCCCAACAATCTCTTTAAAAAGCTTCCTCTCGCCGAATCCCCCTCCACCTCCACCACCCGCCGCCGCCGCCGCCGCCGCCGCCATGGCCTCCGACCTGCGCCCGCCGGAGCACCAGGTGGCGGGGCACCGCGCGTCCGCCGACAAGCTGGGCCCGCTCGTCGACGGCGAGGGGCTCTTCTACAAGCCCCTCCAGGCCGGGGAGCGCGGGGAGCACGAGGCCGCCTTCTACGCCGCGTTCACCGCGCACCCGGCCGTCCCGCCCCGGGTCCGGGGCGCCTTCTTCCCGCGCTTCCACGGCACCCGCTTCCTCCCGGCCCCAGCCAGCCCCGGCGGCGCGCCCTACCCGCACATCGTCCTCGACGACCTCCTCGCGGGCCTCCCGTCCCCCTGCGTCGCCGACGTCAAGATCGGCGCCTGCACGTGGCCGCCGCGATCCCCGGACCCCTACGTCGCCAAGTGCCTCGCCAAGGACCGCGAGACCACCAGCGCGCTCCTCGGCTTCCGCGTCTCCGGCGTCCGGGTGGTCGATGCCCGGGGCGGCGCCGTGTGGCGCCCGGACCGGTCGGAGCTGAAGGGGATCGACGCCGCCGGGGTCCGCCGCGTGCTCCGCCGCTACGTGTCCACGGGCGGCGGCGACGGCCTGGACTGCGCGCTCGCCGCCGCGGTGTACGGAGGGGAGGGCGGCGTCCTGGCTCAGCTGCGGGAGCTCAAGGCGTGGTTCGAGGAGCAAACCCTGTACCACTTCTACTCGGCGTCGATTCTGTTCGGCTACGACGCCAATGCGGCGGCGGCGGCTGCTCCCGGAGGTGGAAGCGGCGGTGTAAGGGTGAAGCTGGTGGACTTCGCGCATGTCGACGATGGGGACGGGGTGATTGACCACAACTTCTTGGGCGGGCTCTGCTCGCTCATCAAGTTCATCGGCGACATTGTCGCCGAGGTTACCGAGAAGGCGTCTTCAGATCATTCTTGAAAATTTTGTCAGCTTGGAGATCAGATGATTAAACGGTAAAGCAATGCCCCTCTATGTTTTGTTCTTTTTGTTTTGTTAGATTTGGATGACAATGTTAGACATTGAGTCAGTAAACAAAAGGAGGATGTAAAGCAAAACGGCAAATCTCTTGTGTCTTGGATTATGTTCTATACTGATGGAAGAAGATTAAAGTATAAACAGAAAAAGTGTCACTGTGGTCTGGGGGATGCATGAACTTGAAAAGGAGTAGAATTAAATATTTATTTAATTTATTGCAAGAAAGAGTAGTAGTAGAATATTGCCACTTTAATGAAAGTTATGATGCTACGAAACAAAGAATTGGTTGCTATGCATCTAGAGAACCTGGAATTAGTGCCGAGGTCCACTTGTTATAGATGGAGAAAGAATGTGAGAAAATTGTGAGCCAACTGCCTCGTCTATGACATGTGGGTCCACCCTGTATTGGATACAATTTGGATGCCAAATTGGTTAAGAACAAAGCCAAACCAGTGAAAGGAGATTTAGATGGTTGAGGGACGAGGTTTACCAGGTTTTGAAGTTGAGGAAAAATTAAACTGAGTAAAGAGTTGAGATACTAGAAATAGACGTTTTCTAGTTTAATTGAAAAAAACCTGGACACTGCATTGATCTATACTATACTGTTCACATCCTCACAGCTGACTGGTTCTGAAATTATTTGTTATGGCTTCGATTGTCTTGTGCTTCCTTAATAAAGATCTGATGTTGGGTGGATGTTGTCCTTTGTGCCATACCCAAAATGAAGTCCTAGTGAGATTGAGACTGTCCATTGAGGCAATTTATAAACTATTTTGCTTAGGTACCGTCTAAACTCTAAAAAGCATACCATTTGGTACTCTGTTTAATCATTTTCTCTTCTTACTCAATAAAAGCGATAAGACTTGTTCTAGTGATCCCCTTTTGAATATTTCTCATGCTTCAATCCCTTCAATGCTGGCTTCAGCGGCTAACTAGCTATGTAGTAATATGTACTTGCTACATTGACTATATGTCAGCTAAAAACGTACTTACAATTTAAATCACAAGCTTATATAGTTAATATTGACTATACCATGCTATTGCTAGTTAACTTTTCACAGAATATGTCATGTACGGTTTAGTGCAATATTGTTACAAGTAACAATATAGCAATAAGTGCAGTAAGCAAGCTATGATACCTTGAGTCCATGATAAAAGGGAGCGATGATAGTTTACTATGTCTTTTGTTCACCAGTCACCATGGGTCCATGGCTTGTATTGTAGACTAATGGCCAACACTAACTCCAAAACCGCTGATGACAAATGTGATACTCCAATCACTAGTTTAAGGAAAAAAAAAACAATGTCCTACTTAAACTTGGGTGGAATAATTGGAACTCACAGATAATAGAGATAACTAGGTTGGTTCATCTACCTAACATATTGAGTCTGGATGATCCCTTTCAGATGCAGTAATGAATTCCACCATAACTATGGGAACATATGCTTGAAATGCAGGATTGCTTGAGATATTCCATGGAAGGTAAAGTGAGGCTGAAGAAAGTCTGTAATTAATGTGACAGAAAACTCAATACAAGCCACAAAGTATTATGCTTTGCAGCCAAACTGAGGTGCCTGAGTATGCACACACTTATTTTATCAGTGCATGCTATTACTAACTTTAGGGAATGCGAGAGAATATGTAGTATGTGCACACTCTTTTATAATGATGCTATAAAATGTGGATGGGCAACTCATGCTTGAGTTCAATTTTTCAGATAAAAACAGCTGACTGTAACCTTGTCATTGTTTTGATATCGATAAAGTGATTGGTGAGAGAGTTTATCCGTGTTTGCTTTGCTGGGCGAACAACGTAGTCAACTGATTTCACACTTCTCACCTCATTAATTATATTGAAGTAATTTAGGCCATGCCTAGTTCCAAACTTTTTCTTCAAACTTCCAACTTTTCCATCACATCAAAACTTTCCTACACACACAAACTTCTAACTATTCCGTCACATCGTTCCAATTTCACCAAACTTCTAATTTTGGCTTGAACTAAACACACCCTTAGTCAACTACCTTGCTACTACTGCAGTAAACTGTTGTTCCCACATGAAGTTTCACTCTTTTGTCTGTTGATTACGGAGTTTATGAGTACTCATGTGTATACTGGGTTTGTTCTTGCAGGTCCAACATTGTGTTCTTGCAAATGTCACACATAATAAAGTGCCATCAAATGGAGAAAGAGTCAATTGTTTGAAAGAGGAAACTTCACCGAGCTGCCGGTAACGTAAATGCGAAGCGACTCACCGGCAGCTCTCCCGGCAAACTTACGGCAACTGATACCTTTTTTTGCATACCCCCCTTTAAAACCATGGGATTCGGGGTGCATTGGATCTTACTCTTTAGTTGTATTAAAGAAATGGTGAACAAAAGATGGGCGTTGTCATTCCACCGAGAAAGAGTTCTTTCGCTATATTTCATACTTGCAGTCTCATAGGGAATTTTGCAAAGAATTGTCCGAGCATCATTGCAGGCCAAACACCTGCCTTTTCTGAAAACATATTTATACGAACAGACATCTAACGAATGTTTTTCTTGTATGAAAGTCGACCATAAGCACCAAACTCTGATATTCGAAACCTAGTGGTGTGGTATTAACCATTTTGTGTAATTTTAGCGACTTTGGCTGTGTTCTTTCCCTCACTTTCCTAATTTTTACTCCCTCGTTTTTCACACACGTACTTTTTAAACGGTTAAACGGTGTATTTTTTTGCAAAAGTTTTCTAAAGAAAAGATATTTTTTTAAAAAAATCATATTAATTTATTTTTCAAGTTTTTTTAAGACTAATACTTAATCAATCATGTGGTAATGGGAATTCCACTTCCCAAAAGCAGCCTCTGTATGGGTTCATTTGAAAGAAAAGGAGGATGAATTATTATAAAGCTATATAGTATTACAAAACTATCATAACCAAACTATTATAAAGCTATATAGACTTAGTATTACAAAATTATAGATGTGGCACCGGATCTATTATGCTACCAATTTAAGGTCAAGTACCTTAAAACCATATGTCTAGTAAAAAAATTAGTAGTGAAACAAAGCTATAGATTTTAGAGTTTAGTTTCCTACTGCTATTGTTCTGCTGAAGTTATAAACACTATAGTTTTACGATATAATTTGGCACTGAATCTTTAGTCTTACGGTATTATGCCTCAAATTTGATGATAAGCCCCAATGCTAAACCGGTAGAAAGCGCGCAAAACCTCTTGCCAAATTCACCTTAACAAAATTGTTTCTCAAAAGCGCTAAATCACGGAACCAACATGGCAACATGGGTGGTTCACTCTTGGAATTCGCACGCAGATGCACGCAGCTAGTAGTAGGCGTGTTGATCCAGCGACTGAAGCAGCAGCGCAGCACTCATGTGAGACGGTGAGAGTCTGGATGATGACTGGCGACTTTGTTAGGACTCGGGACCAGATGAGCATGAGCTGCCTGCCTCCCTCCCACGACCCACGCACATCGCGATCGACCTTGCTTTGGCACGTGATGATGTTACACTGTTCTCTACTTTCTTCGTTTCATAAAATACGAACCTCTAGTTCTATTACTATCATTTTTGTATTTCATAAAACGGAGTAAATAGACAATAGTGTACCATCACATAATAATAGTAATAGTACTAGAGTTTTTTTTTTTCTTTTATGAAACTACTCTACCCGTCCCATAATATAAGATATTTTAGAGGGATATGACATATTCTAGTGCTACGAACTGGGATAGAGATGTGTCACATTCTTTCAAAATTCTATAAAGTCTATCACCGGTCTCTAACTTGTACCGCTGTGTCATCCTGGTCCCTAAACTCGCAAATCGATCGTTTAGGTCCTCAAACTTGTTCGACTGTGTTATCCCGGTCCCTAAACTTACAGAACTCTCGTTCAGGTCCTCCAACTTGTTCAGTTGTGTCACCCCGGTCCCTAAACAGGACGGTCTAAAATCTTTATATCAAAAAGTAATTCATAACTTTTTCATGTGAACTCTAATTAAGACAAACTTTATATCAAAATTGTAGCCCTCGACGCGACCTACAACTTTGTAGTTGAAAAGTTTTTGAATTAAAACTGTTTAGGGTCCCAAAATATTGTTGCATGTTATAGATTTTGAAATTTTAATTTTAAAATTACATTTTGGGACAAAAAATGACTTAAAATAAAAAAATTCAACTACAAAGTTGTAGATCGCATCGAGGGCTACCAGTTTGATATAAAGTTTGTCTTCATTAGAGTTCACATAAAAAAGTTATGAATTATTTTTAAATATAAAGTCTTTAGACTGTCTGTCCTATTTGACCCAGATGATATTCAAATCCAAATTTAGGGACCGGTGTGACACAACTGAATAAGTTGGAGGATCTAAACGAGTGATCTGTAAGTTTAGGGACCGGGATGACACAGTCGAACAAATTTGAGGACCTGAACGGTCGATTTGCGAGTTTAGGGACCAGGATGACACAACGGTATAAGTTTAGAGACCGGTAATGGACTTTAATCTTTTTTATATTTTGGGACGGATGAGTTACTGCACTACTAATAACTCCACTCCACTTGGATCGTGCAGTGCAGGGGCGCATGCTGGAGAGAAGAGAATTGGGGGGGGGGGGGGGGGGGGTGGTTTGGTGGATCGCCACCTGGAGTTGGCGTTGCGCTGTGCGAGAGCGGTTGGCTCTTGTCTGGTTGCTGCTGAGCTTTTAATTCCACGCCGAGCGCGCAGGCGGTGATTTTTGAAGCGCATTCCGGCATCGCCATCGGTTTCATCGATCGATCGTCAGATTCGCCAACTCCCACCGCCACCGGCCGAACCAACCTCAGCCACAACACCTCTTTCTGCCTTCATATATATGCATCGGAATTTTGGATGTGATTGCCTGCATCGGATGGATTACGACCACTCGTACATTGCATATTTGGATGCAGATTCATGTTGTACTATTCTGCGGCAGCCGGAATCGGGATGAGCTGCACAGCAGCGAGCGCCGAGCGGGCGTGGATTTGATAATGGAATAAGCTCATATAATGTCCCTTAACTTGTCAACGAATTCGATTTTCATCCTTGAACCCCAAAACCAGATATAACGGGTCCCCCAACTATTAAAACCGGTGCAGATAAGGTCCTTCGGCGGTTTAGATGGCGGTTTTGGCTGACGTGGCGTCTACGTGACGAATTTGACTCGGTCTTCATCTGACGTGTCATTGACATGGTGCTTACGTGGCAATTCGAAAAAAAAAACCCTTGAGACCCACATATCAGTTTCATATACAAATTAATAAAAATGGTGGGACCCACGTGGGCCCCACGAGTCATTCTCACCCCTCATCTTCTTTCTCCTGATCTCTCCCCATCTCTCGTCGTCTTCATCTCTCTCCCCTCTCCTCCCTCCTCTCGCTGGCACAGATAAGAAGCGGCGCACGGGCGCCGGCCGGAGGGAGGAAAGGAGCGCGCGCATGCGCAGGAGGCGGCCGGCGACCGGTGAGAAAGGAGCGGCGTCCTCCGCTAGGAGAAGGACGCACACCTCACCATCGCGGCCCCCGCCACCGTTTCCACCGTCCTCCGCGCCGCTCACCGACCTCGACGGCGTCCTCGCTATGGGCGGTGGCGGGCGAGCTCCCGCTTCTCTCCACCTACTTCCCCGCCGCCGCTATCGAAGACGACGACACTGATGGCGACGGGTTTGAGGAGGGCACCGGGCCACCGATGCGGCGATTGGGCGTCGGCGGCGCGGGAGCAGTGCAGTGGCGGCGCGCGGGGCCACAGGGTGCAAGCGGCGGCGGCGTCAAGGAGGGCCAGGGCGCAAGCGGTAGTGACTAGTGACTGGCGGTAGTGGCGCAGGAGCAGGGCGTCGGGACGCAAGCGGCGCCATGGAGGAGGGCATCATCGGCGTCGGGCGCCATTTATCTGGTCGGCCACCAGCTTCCGGAAGCGAATGGTGAGCACGTCGCCATTTTCTCCTTCTCCCCTCTCCACGATTTCACAGGGATTGGAAACTGCTTGCTGCAGTTGCTGTTCGATTCTATTTCTACAATTCTACTCACGATACAATCCATTATTTCCCTCAGTAAATCCCGTTGAAATTTGAACAAAATTCAGTGCCAAAATGTTTACTCACATCACACTGTTGCAGCATGACAAACAAATGTTCGATCTACACACTTACGAACCACCGGATTTCGGCGGCGGCTACTGCGGCGTCGTAGTGCAGATTCATCACCCTGACGAGGCTGCTACCGTCCTCGCCGTACCTGATGAGGTGGCCGTACATCCGCAGCCAGTGGTCGGAAGCCTCGTCGACGGTGTGGTAGGTCCAGATGTGTGGTCTCAGCCAGAGGCAGTCGATGAGGTCACCCCACGCGCCTCGTTTTCCATGCTGATAGTGGCTCTGGTGCTCCAGTCGCGGGCGAGGCCGACGCAGCCGCAGCCGCAGCCGGCACACGACACCATTGAAGGTCCGTGACGCGCCTGTCGTCGGACCGGATATCGGCGACGCCGAGGCCGGGCAAGCACTCGACGAGGTCAGCCGCCGAAGCAGGTAGAGGGGCTGGAGATCATCGAAGTGGCCACCGGTGAGCGGTTGTCCCGCTGGCTTCGTGCGCCGCCGCTCCGGCCACCGTCGCCCCACTCCGCCCGCCGCCCTAGTCCACATCATAGGAAAGAAGAGAGAGAGAGAGGATAGCAGGAAGAAGGGAGCAGTGAGGATGACACGTGGGGCCCACGTGGGTCCCACCATTTTTTTTTTTGTGAAACTGACATGTAGGCCCCACTAATTTTATTATTTTTCTGGATCGAATTGCCATGTAAGCGCCACGCCAGCCAAAACCGCCCTCTAAACCGCCAGAGGAACTTATCTGCACCGGTTTTGATAGTTGAGGGATCCGTTGTATCTGGTTTTGGGGTTCAAGGACGAAAATCGGATTCGTTGACAAGTTAAGGGACCTCGGATGAACTTATTCCTTTGATAATTAGGCATTTAGGCCGGCCCAATTAGTATACTCGGCCCGGTGACACAACCCAGCCAAGCCTCACGTTTGGCCCACATAGAGTTCAGGCCCATCGGCCGCCGCTTAAACAGTACACCGAACTCCAAAACGTACAACCGCATCGGGCGCATTAAATGTCTGTGCATCACGTACAACCGCATGCAATGCCAGTCTTCCGTAAACAACACCTACTACTACAGTACTAGCTCTTGAATCTTGATTGTTTAGATATACTAGTACAGAGTAAATCTCAGTATTAATATATAATGGATATGCTATACTTGAACTCTAGCTTGAACTAATCTTGATTGAAACAATGTCACGGAGAGTACATGTGACGTGATGTTCACAGAAGAACACAACTTCTAACCGTTGTCGGAGATTCAGATCTAGAGAGAGACTTGCAGCACTCCATCCCGTCCTAAAATTATACATGTAGTACTACGGCCTGGTTTAGTTTTCAACTTTTTCTTTAAATTTTTAACTTTTTCATCAAACTTTTCCACACACAGACTTCCAATTTTTCCGTCACATCATTCCAATTTCAATCAAACTTTTAATTTTAGCGTGAACTAAACACACCCTACATAGGTAAAATTCTATATTTTGTTACTGGCCAAACCTATATACTCCCTCCGTCCG